AAAATTTGTAATCCATTTTGAAACTATTATAATTTTCAGTATGTGTTAGTACTTTAATATTTGCAATTGCCTATAAGAAATTGGTTCAAATGGTTCAAGTGTAGCAAGCTCAGTGCCCAAACCTAGGGCACGAGCAATAGAAGTAACCAGGCCATCAAAAGAAATTTGCCCCCCCCCCTTTTTCAAAATGAAACTCATATGGGCGATCATAAAAGGGACAGGGTTAATTCTTGTATTTGTGAGACACCCCTGCATAAAGATAAGTTCTTTAGCATTTACTTTGTTTGGATTTTCCCGGCTAAAAATGGTGTATGCCAAAAGATAGCGGAAACACACATTGTTGGGTTGTGGATACTTGAAGCTAAAAGGCCGTCAAAAGAATTAGCATGTTGGTTTGACAATTTAAACCAAAAGGCATAGCCTTAGAATATCTAATCTGAATCCAAGGGTGCCTCACAAATTTCATCGTCCCCATGAGGCATCCCCAATAATTCTGCTAACCCATCGATGGTGTATTCATACATTTCACTTTGCCTACGGTGCTAGCAGTGTTGGGTCTGACATTATAAATCAGAGAACTTAAAAACTCACGTGTCAGCCCCGGATAGATAGGTGCTTTATGAGAAAAAATATCATGCATGCCTACTTTATCTAATAAACTGAAAATACTATGATAAATCCCTAAAGTATACAGACAATCTTCATCGATATACCTGGTAGAGTAAATCTCATGTGTTTGTAATTTTTCAAGAAGCTTCTTTTGTCGTTCTCCCGGCTTCCCCGCGCTAAGAATGTACCCGTTGAACTCCATTAGTGTTGTTTTTGAAGGTAGATGATGGGAAATGGGTTTTTATAGTGATAATGGATAAAAATGAGTATTAGTGGATTTTTAATGGTGAGAATGGAATGAGGAAGATGGTGATGTGAGTGGGTTTTAATTGTAGTGGGAAAGTTATGGCCTTTAATAGAGTTTTAAGGTGGTCAAAAATGGGAAAAATGGATTTTGAAAGAGGAAGAAGAAGAGAAAAATGGAGTTTTCACGGAATAAAGCCGTTATAGCTCCAGACCCCACCGCGGGCGCTGAGGGAAGGTCCACGGGTGCGGTCTTTGGAAAAAGCGGTCTGAGCCGTTTTTTCTTGGATCGGGCCTTGGATCTTGCAATTTGCTACCTACTTTGGGGGAAGACGCTCAAAGTATCTCCTGTAAATATATATATATATATATATATATATATATATATATATATATATATATATATATATATATATATATATATATATATATATATATATATATATATATATATATATATATATATATTCATATTTTCTTCTTGCTCCATGCATGATATAAATATAAAAAGTAAAAATAAGTTAAATTAAAAAATAATAATCACATAAATAATAAATGATAAAATAAATAAAACATGTCTATAAGTGGTCATGGAAAAATGAAAAGTGTGGTGCGAAATAGAAACAACATAAAGAAAATAGGAAAATGTCAGGAAATGAAAAACATAATAGTAATACGGATGAGATTTCTCAATCAACAGTGCTTCTAGGACCTCGAACTTTTGCTAGCTGGCACCTAAGATCAGCGATCTCTCGAGATAACGAATCAGACTCGGATGCATGAGTGGCATCAGAGACCTCAATGGACAAAGTTAGATCGGCAACCTCCTGGCGAAGTGCAGCTAACTCAGTACGTAAAGCAACAAGTTATGAATGAACATCTGGTTCATGTAAAGCAAATTTGTTAGAATACACAGTGGTCAAGGGTACCTCTGGCGCATGTGCATACTCAGGAACAAAAGGCTCTCCTGGCCCATCAATAGTCTCTCCCCATCCTTCTAAAGAGTAAGCCCAATTTGCTGGGTTGTAGACACAAGTCATCGGAGGATCAGGCAAGGTGAAATAGTGGATAGTCTCGTCATTGATTAGGAGTCTGTACTGGTGAGGGTGAAATGATACCCGCCTTATCAAGCCATGATCCAAGCAAAAGTCAATGTCCATAAAGGAACTACCACTATAGGAGGTCAAATGGTATAGCTTGCTATCCAAGCTTAAAGCAAATGCTATTTGAGTCACGTTACCACCCATATGTATGGATCCCTCGGAAGATCTAGCAGTCATGTGCAAACTCTCAATCAAGAAGTTACCATTGGCTATAGAGCGAGACTCGTTGGTACAAAACAGGAATAACATCTCTTCGGCACTAATAAGGTCGTCAGCATCACTTCTTCCGAAAAAGGTATAACAAAGGATCATCTGAAAATACTTGAAAGCTGGGTTATGAATCTTCTTAGACAACTGAGTAGAGGGACCAGGGCTACCTCCACTAGAGATTTCTCTCCAGAATCTATCTATGCTCCTCTTCATGTAATAACTCAAAGGAAGCTCAGGGATAGCGTCTTGACCACTATGAAAACTCAATAAATCACCAAACTGCTTCATGGTGAAAGTGTACTCGGTCCCAAACAGCCTGAAACTGATGCATCCTCTGTCATCTCTGCAACTCACGTACGGCTCATAGTAGAGTGAGCTAAGAAACTCCAAGGTGAGGTTTCTGTAGGTCACATTGACATCATCAGCATACTCCTCCCACTGAAGCTGGCTGCACAGGTATTTCACACTTTCTTCAATTCCTAGTGCTTCCACGCAGTTCAGGTCGGGATACCGGGTAGGTAGCATTAGACGTGCAACTAAGGTAACATAACATCTCCTTTGTGCATCATCCCTAAAAACCACGTGCATGTCATCAAAGTGCGTCATCCTGAAAAGTATAGTTAGAGTATCTGGACCTAGAAAATATTATAAAGATTAGTCCGCATAAAACTAATTCATGATAAAAATAAAAGGCTTAAATGCAGTTTTGACCCCCCTAGTTTAAGGTTTTTGGAGTTTCGATCCCCCTAGTTTAAAAGTCAGGTTTCTAGTCCCCAAAGTTTTCAAATTTGGGATTTTTGAAGCCCCCCTCCATCTGGCTGCCCAAAAAGTGACATGGCACATGGAGAGTAATGCCACGTATTATTTTTTTTTTTATTTTTTTTTTTTTTTAAAAAAAATTTTTTTTTCTTCTCCTCATGGGCAAAATTAAGGTTCGAAAGGAAAAAAAAAAATTAAAAAATAAAATAAAATAAAATAAAAAAAAAATATAAAAAAAAATATAAAAAAAAATAATAATAAAAAAATATATGTGGCATTACTCTCCCTGTGCCATGTCACTTTTTGGGCAGCCAGATGGAGGGGGGCTTCAAAAATCCCAAATTTGAAAACTTTGGGGACTAGAAACCTGGCTTTTAAACTAGGGGGATCGAAACTCCAAAAACCTTAAACTAGGGGGGTCAAAACTGCATTTAAGCCAAAATAAAATAAATGAAAATAAATGAAAAAGGAAACCATGGGTTGCCTCCCATGCAGCGTTTGTTTAACGTCATTAGCTCGACGATTAGATCTTACATTTTGGAAGTACGCATTGGTGGGTCCATCAATGTGTGGTTGGAGTATTCAACTGGAACGTCTCTTCCTTTATAAATCTTCAATCTTTGTCCATTTACCACGAAGGGGGTACAAGAGTTATTTTTGATCTCAATTGCCCCGGATCTCAAGATCTTGGATATTTCAAAGGGACAGGTCCATCTTGAACGTAGCTTACCAAGAAAAAGTCGCAACCTGGAGTTAAAAAGAAGAACAAGATCGCCTATGTTGAAGTCTTTTTAACGATTCTCTTGTCGTGCCATAATTTTTTTCTTTCTTTGTATATTATGGCATTTTCATAGGCATTCAGGCAAAGTTCCTCTAATTTATGGATATCGAGGATACGTTTTTCTCCGACTGCTAAGTAGTCTAAGTTCAAAGTTTTTATAGCCCAATATGCCTTGTGCTCTAATTCAAAAGGTAAGTGACATGACTTTCTGTAAACCAACTGGTAAGGGGTAGTTCCAATGGGGGTTTTATAGGCTGTTCTGTAAGCCCATAATGCGTCTTTCATCTTTTCAGACCAATCTTTTTTAAATATTGAGACGGTATTCTCCAAGATCTATTTTATTTCCCTGTTGGACACCTCAACTTGACCACTGGTTTGCGGGTAATATGGTGTCGCTACTTTATGTTTTACTCCATATTTACTTAAAAGTTTGTCAAAGATTTTGGATATAAAGTGTGATCCTCCATTACTTATGACAAGGCGGGGTATTCCAAACCTTGAGAAGATGTTGCTCTTAAATAACTTGATTACTACTCTGGTGTCGTTTGTAGGTGATGCAATAGCCTCAATCCATTTGGACACGTGTCATACCCCAAATTTGTCATACCCTTATTTGTGCTTAGGTTTCCTTTATTTGAATCGTATCATTTAGTTTTTAATTTTATAGAGGTATTTAAAACCAGAGCGGGGTATAAAAATCCAAAATGGACCATCAACATCTGATGATCCATTAAGATCTAATAAGAGCCCATTTCAAATGAGAGGGGATGTATTCTTTCAGAAAGTGAACAGATTTTTTAAGCCCATTTAAACTTTTGATGAAAAGAAACAATCTTTTTATTTTTATATTAGGCCCATTCCCTTTTAAAGAAAAAAGAAACTATTTTTTTTTATATATTATTAATTTATCAAAATGTTTGTCTTAAAATAACAGGCTCAAAACAGGTGGTCCATTTTAAATTTTTTTAAAAGAAAATTGTTTTTATCATTAATGACATTACTACTATTATATTTAATTATTATCAATATTATTTGATTATTATTAATATTATCATATTATTATTAATATTATTATTCTGAAATCATATTTTTCAAAGAAAAAATGCAGCGGCCCAATGATTGAAAATACTTTTTTTACGAGTCATCTAAATGCACTAACAGTTATTGTATGGATTAAAATGTGTTACTTCTTTTTACAGTACATAGATTAAAACGTACATAGATTAAAACGAAAACCATCTTTTTTTCTTGTCAATCAATAACGTCATTGTTATTTTATTTCCTTTCCAAAATTCATGCAAATACAGAAATTATTAAAAAAAACATTATTACAGCAAACAAAGATGAGTCAATGCAGACTCGTTTACTTATTGGAGCCCGCCGTCGCTACCACCCATCCGACACCACTTCTGCAAGACATACGACCGGCCACCCACGCATCGCACCGCCAAACACGCAGCTTCCCAAATAACTTCCTCCTCTGTGCCCGACGAAAATCTCCGGCGACGAACTGCAGATCCGCAACCAACAACCCTCCACGCCCGACGAACCTTCATGCAATCAGCCCTTTCCGCTTCTTTTCGTCCGCCGTACAAAATCACCATAGGCAAGTTATTCTCTGTGATTCTACTAGTTTTGGTGTTTTTAAGTGTATGAGTTGCAGAAATTTTTTGGTTGTTCATGGAGAAAGATGAAGAGAACATTGAGAGAGAAAGAGGAGGTGGGGTCGAAAAAAAAACAAGGATTCAGAAAACAACCCTCTCTCTATGTCATATATTATTACTTTCCTTTTTATTTTTTTAATAAACCCATGCCATATGTCATCCTCCGATTTAACCCCATGTTTTCTTGAAAAACCAAAATAGTTTGGTCTGTTTTTTTCTCTTCGTTATTTATGTGTAGAAAATTTAACAAAAGTAATGATACGGGAAGTAGAAAAGGCGCTCCAAAGGGGGCTGTATTTTTTCTTCTTTTCATAATGATAGAATTAGGGCTAATGTCTTTTTGTTTCTAAGGTTGGGCCCACATGTCCATAATAATTATACTCCTAAAATCTTACTACTCACACCCCTGTAAATCAACTTTATTTTGTTAACTTATTAGTTTATTTTATTATTCATATAGATTGATTTTAATTAATTATTATTAGAAAAATATCTAAAAATAAAAAATGTATTCTCTTACATTTTTTTAGGTTAATTAGATCATTACTTTGCATGTCTAAGTTTTTGTCTGATTAATTTTCAACCCTCGCATCAACTTTCAAATAAATTGCTAACTTTGTACATAAATCAAATATCTTTATAAATAATAGAAAGTCCATTTTCGAGCAATTAAATCGGTCTATACATCGTCTACTGGTTTATTTTTTAAAATTAGATGATTAAAATTCGCATAACTCACCAAATTCACCATCTTGGATTGACACGAGGCCAATATCTGACTACGTGATGAGGAGACTATATTAAACTACCTCGCCTTACGTCTTAAAAATACTCAAACAAACATCAAATTATTTTTCATAATAAATTAATTCAACATTAATTTTTGAAAAAGGAATACGAATATATTTAAACCAACAATGCACTTGGTCTAACAAACTCCGCTATTCACACTCTTAGACTACGTATGCGAGAAATTCAAATATATTTCGCAGTCCATAAAAAAACAAACCAACCACGAACTACGAAATGGGACTTTGATTCCTCCTAAGGAAGATACGTAGGCATACGATCAAAAATCAATGCGAGTCCCTCTAACTAAAATTCAAACCCTTTTTCCCGCTAACTAAAATTCAAACCCTTTTCCCCCTAACTAAAATTCAAACATTTTTCACAATAATAATTAAAAATCCTATTTCCTAAAAATGCGCTTCTAAACCTAGTATCCTTGTGAACAATGTAGATAAGGAGTGCCTAACACATTCCCCTCGTCTAGAACTAAGTCCAAATCTAGAATCTCTAAACTTTATGGTTATTCCTTTATACTCCCTTCCTTTAGGATAAAAATTAAGGGTGGCAACTCTCAATTAAAAAGCCAGTTGCAACAACATGTAATCCATAGCTACCAGTATGTATTTATTTCCCATGAAGGATGGAAATGGTCCCATAAAATCTATACCCCATACATCAAAAAGTTCCACTTCTTGGATATTCCTTAAGGGCATTTCACCACGTCTTGAGACGTTCCCAGTGCGTTGGCACCGACCGCATTTGATAATGTAGGTATGAACATCGCGCCACAAAGTTGGCCAGTAGAGGCCTGCTTGAAGGATTTTAGCATATGTTTTGGACATGCTTGCATATCCACCATATGGTGCAGAGTGACAATGTTTGATGATGTTTTTTACTTCTTCTTCTGGGACACAGCATCTAAAGATATTGTATATGCCTCTCTTAAATAGGAGTGGTTCATCCCAATAAAAATGTTTAACATCGTTGAAGAACTTCTTTTTTTGTTGGTAGTTCAAATCAGGGGTTATGATATTGGCAACTAGATAATTGACAAATCAGCGTACCAAGGTACACTTTTTATTATTGAAACTTTCTCAAGGTTTTCATCTATGTAAGGCTCAAAGTTGTCTATCTTAGCTACAAGTCTGTCATAGGTGAAATCATCATTTATAGGCAATAAGTCAGTTTTTAAATATTCTAACTTAGAGAGATGGTCAGTGACCATATTCTCTGTGCCTTTTTTATCTCTAATGTCCAGATCAAACTCTTGGAGTAAAAGGATCCATCTAAGTTTAACCTAGGTTTAACATCCTTTTTGTTTAGCAGGTAACGAATAGCAGCATGATCTGTGTAAACAATAATATTAGCTCCAACCAAATAGGATCAAAACTTATCAATTGCAAAAATTACGGCTAGCAATTTTTTCTCTGTTGTTGCATAATTAAGTTGGGCAGCATCTAGGGTTCTACTAGCATAATATATAACATGTAATTTCTTATCCTTTCTTTGCCCTAGAACAACATCAACAACATAATCACTATCATTGCACATGATTTCAAAAGGTTGTGTCCAATCTGGAGGTTTCATGATTGGACCTGAAATCAGTGCTTGCTTCAAAAGGTCAAAGGCTTCAATACATTTCTCATCGAAAATAAATTCGACGTATTTAATTAGAAGATTAGTTAAGGGTTTTGTTATTTTGGAGAAGTCTTTGATAAAACGCCGGTAAAAACCAGCATGTCTAAGAAAACTTCTAACTTCCCTAATAGTTTTAGGTGGCTTGAGGTTCTCTATTACTTCTATTTTGGCCCTATCGACTCCAATGCCCTTTTCATAGATAATGTGTCCTAATATTATACCTTCTTTAACCATAAAATGGCACTTTTCCCAATTTAATACAAGGTTTACCTCAATGTATCTTTCTAGGATTTTCTCAAGTTTAGAGAGACACTCTTTAAAATCGAATCCACATACCGAGAAATCATCCATGAATACTTCCATAATTCCGTCAAGATAATTTGCCAAAATTGACATAATACAACACTGGAAAGTGGCTGACACATTAGAGTCCAAAGGGAATCCGTCTATAGGAAAATGTTCCGTAAGGACAGGTAAAGGTTGTTTTTTTCTTGATCCTCAGGGTCAATAGGGATTTGGAAAAATCCCGAGTACCCATCTAGATAACAAAAATACGAGTGTCTAGCTAGACGCTCAAGCATTTGATCTATAAAGGGAAGAGGGAAATGATATTTCCTAGTTGCTTTGTTTAACTTTCTGTAATCTATACACATACTCCAACCTCCTTCTATGCGCTTGGCAACATGTTCACCTTTCTCATTTTCCGTGACTGTAATGCCTCCTTTGTTAGTACGACATGTACATGACTTACCCATTTACTATCTGAAATTTGATAAATTATACCAGCCTCTTGTAACTTAAGAACCTCTCTCTTAACAACATCACTCATTATAGGGTTTATCCTCCTTTGATGTTCTCTAGAGGGTTTAGAATCTTCCTCCAACATAATCTGGTGCATGCACATCGATGGGCTTATCCCTTTTAAATCAGAGATGTTATACCATATGGCTGAGGGATATTTTCGTAAGATATCCAAGAGTTTTTTTGCCTCATCTTGATTTAAGGTAGCACTAACTATAATAGGACGATTCATTTCTTCCTCTAAGAACTCATATCTCAGATTCTTTGGAAGTTCTTTAAGTTCTAAAGATGGTTTCTTAGGGCAACACATATGATCTGGGGTAAAGGATAAACATTCATAGAGTTTCTCATCAAAGTAGGGTTCCAGTATTTCAAATCCATCGCCCTCCCAAACGCAGGTTGAGGGTAACTTGATAGTTTTGATAGGTTCTTCTTAATTCAGTTCCAATATGCCCTCATCAATGACGTCAATGGCATAACATGTATCTCCCATGACTGGTGCCATTAAGAGCTTCGAAAGAATAAATTCTATCTTTTCATTACCTACCTCAAAAGTCAATTTTCCTTTCTTAACATCTATTATGGCTCCTGCAGCCGATAGGAATGGTCTACCTAGAAGGATTAGGATTTCCTCGTCTTCTTTAATATCCATGACTACAAAATCTGTTGGGAAATATAGCTGACCTGTTTTAACTGGTATGTCTTCTAGTATGCCTATAGGATATTTAACCGATCTATGGGCCAATTGAAGAGACATTTTAGTTGGATGCAATTATCCTAAGTTAAGCCTCTTACAAACCACCAAAGGCATTAGAATGATGCTAGCTCTTAGGTATAAAAAGGCTTTATCAACCATGTGATTTCCTAGGATACAAGGTATGGAAAAACTTCCTGAGACTTTTCTTTCTTGGCAAGTTTATTTTCAGAAATTAAATTGCACTCTAAAGGTTTAGGATCGTCCAATCTACGTTTGTTGGTTAGGATATCTTTTAGGAATTTTGCATAAGATGGTATCTGAGTGATAGCTTCGGTAAAAGGAATCTCCACATGGAGCTTCTCTATAATTTTATAAATTTTTGATATTGCTTATCAACCTTAGTTTGTTTAAGTCTTTGCGGAAACGGGATCAGAGGTTTGTATGGGGGTGGCGGTGTATAAGTTTTATCTTTAGTTTCGATTCCTGGGTTTTTTTTTCTTTTCAGGTTCTTCTGATTCCTCTACTTGGTCCGAAGGCACTACACTTTCCTTAGGTTGTTTGGGTATGCTTAATGTTGGGTATGTCGGTCCATCGTAAGCAGTTCCACTTTGTAAGGTAATGGCATTTGCTTGCCCTTTGGGATTTGGTTGAGGTTGTCTAGGGAATTGTTTTTCAGGTGTAGTTTGAGGAGCTCGTGTCTGGGCTACCTAAGAGATTTGGGTTTCAAGCATCTTGTTATGAGTAACTATCTGGTCAACCTTAGTTCCTAATTGTGTGATTAGTTTATTTATATGAATGTTCTAATCCATGAACTCTTTGTTTTGTTGAGTCTAGGCCAAAATGAAATTGTCCATGATTTTCTCAAGGTTTGGTTTCGGTGGTACAACTTGCATAGGTTGATTTGGTCTTAGGGCTTGGAAACCTTGGGGTCTCGGAGGTGTAGAATTCTAAATCGGGTTGTTGTTCTTATAAGAAAAATTTGGGTGATTCCTCCATCCAGAGTTGTAAGTGTTTGATAATGGGTTTCCTTGGGTATAGTTGACTTGGTATGTGCTAGATCCATTCAACAGGTTACAGTATGAAGTTTGATGTCCTTGGGTCCCAC